CTATCACAGAAAACACGAGAAAATTTCCAAACAAAAGCGAAAAACTGCACCAAGATGAAACGACTGCTGAACAATGCATCATAACCAGCACATTACAGTACACATATACATATATAAGTACATGTAGATATGTGTACGGTATATACGTATATATAGCGTGGTGAATAAACTGATCCTATTATCACGACTGTTTCACACAGCCAGTCTGGGGATGTGATAATAATGTGTTGCTGGTGTGTGCTTATACCACTAGCGTTACATTTATGCCGGGTTGTTCTGTTCTGAGTTGCAGGCCTCCGGTTTATAGCTTTTCTCGCTTCAGTGTTTAAGTGGTTGTTTTCGTTCCTATGCGTACTAGCAGTATGAGAGGGTCACCGGTTTTCAGAAATACGCGTGACGTATCACACCAGTAGGATTTTAGCTCCTCATGTAGTCGTTAAACAGGCAAAATTCAACTAGAAAATGCAACGGCAAGGCTGCGCATTTCCATTTTAGCACTTCTGAATATAAAAATAATTTTTTTCCTTCAACATAAGATAACACTCCTTCTTGGCCCCCTTATTCTTAGTACTTATAAATGTCAGAAGCAGTAGATATTTGTTGCGAACTGAAAGCAACGTAACATAAAGCCCAGTCAACTTCGCTTTCACACTTAAATCCGTCAATAAGCATTTATCACAGGTGCAATCGTTAAAGTTAGGACATAAGAATTTGTTTAGGTACAACAATGCGTCAAGAAAAAAAAAAACCTGAGCGAAGCCGCCAGCCTGTAGCTGCGCAATCGTAGCGATCAAATTAGTGCGACGCACTTCATCGTAATCATCCGAATACTCCTTCAGCAGCATCCTGAAAATTCAAGGAATATTACAAAATTCGGATTCAGCGGTTCAGCTGATATTTTCTGTGTAGAACGAAAAATATATTACATGAAAATTTTTGAGGCTTCTTCAAATTTCTCGGCACGATACAACAACTGCGCCCTCAATTCCGCGCATCGGTAGTCATCGGGAGGCGCCTTGTTCAACGTTTCCAGTGCAGCTGCATCCTCATTAAGTCGATACAAGACGTACGCTTTTTCAAATATGCAGGTTCTAAAATTCAAGATAGTTGCAAAACATCGTCGAGGCCATATGGAGCAAGTGAAAACAAACCAGGGAACATGCTATTCGTTTTGCAGGCAACCAGTGGGCATCGAAGATTAGTGAATAATATGTCAAAAAGAAATAACTGGCCAAAAAGACAGATTTCGGCCGGACTGCGTGCGTATACAGGTGAAAGCAGATCGCATTAAAGCTATGCAAATCAGGGCCTCTGCCGAACTCTACATCGACAATCTGAGTGATTCTGGTACTGAATAATGATTTCAAGGAACAAAAAACGAGCTCTTTTCCTTTTTCCTCGCCTTTTCACTCTTTTCGCTACCTACAAAATCAACTGGCGAATTATGAAACTGGCCTCACTGTCCAACAAGTTTGCCTTGAAGATTCTGGAACTAGGACCAATACCTAAAAAATTCGCCCATAAAAGGTTACTAGAGTGTACTTCTGAGCAGCTAAAATTGGCGTTGTGGCATGCGAATTCCCACAAGGAAGAACAATTACAAGATTGAGAAAACAGGCAATTTTGGCTGTAAAAAGCAGACAACTTGCCCCATGTGGTGTGGAGGAGTCTTCTTGATTAACGTCAGTGCCTCATCCATGCGGCCGAGTTGAATAAGCGCCACCAGTTTGCACTTGAATGCCATCGTCTCCTTCGGATATGTCCGCAGCACTGCAACAGCACAGCAGCAGATAATTTGGTTTATTCTTCTCCCCTCCTCCCCCCTTCCCCTCCGCTCCCCCTCTTCGTGGTATTGCAAATTACACCTGTCTGGCTTAATCTCAGTAAATTTTACCTACCCGCGGGCAACATGTACGGCCCTGCATAACTTTTGGCGGGTAAAATTATTATCACGGAAACCACGGAAGCTAGAAGGTTGAAATCCTATGGGCATGTCCCCGGTCTATGTGCTACCCAAAAAATTTAAATTCAGTTTTCCCCGGTTCGCAGGTAATATGTACAGCCCCGTGAAAATTTTGACCGATAAATTATTATCTCGGGAACCACGGAATTTAGGAAGCTGAAATTTTATGGCAATGACCCCTTGCACATGACCGATCTTGTAAATTCGAATTCAGCGTTCCCGCGCTCTCAAATATCATCTATGACCCCACGAAAATTTTTGTGGGTCAGATTATTATCTCGGTAACCACGGAATCTACGATGCTGAAATTTGAAGGCAAATGACCTCCTGCCCACGCACGACCTTTCAAATTCAGTGTTCCCGCGCTCTCGGGCATCATCTACGGTCCCGTGAAAATCTTGGCGGAGAAATTATTATCTGATGGACCATAAAATCCAGGAAGCTGAAATTTTACTGTAATGTCCCCCGCCTATATGCAATCCCGCAAATTTAAATTCAGCCTTCTCACATGCCCGAATGTCAATTACGGTCCCGTAAAAGCTTCGGCGGTGAACATTATCTCGGGCAACGCGGAAGTTGGGAATCTGAAATTTTAGGGTGACCTACTCTACCAACGTACGACCTCGTAAATTTGGATTGACGCTTCACGCACCCGCGGGTACCACGTCCGTGAAAACTTTGATAGAGGAATTATTATTTCGTGTGCGTGAAATTTTAGTGGGAAATTCCGCAACTTAAGAAGCAGACAAAGCGCAAAACAATGAAAATCATTAGCAGGCAATCGTTCGGTGGACGGAACTGCGCAAAACGCATGATCGCATCAAGTGCCCTGGTTCTCGTCGCTATTTATTTCTCTCTAGGCCTACTTACAGGTTACTCCACACAGATGTCTACAAGATGTGCCTGTACTGTTTCTCCACAGGAGACATTCGCACGCCACATCACTCTAAACTGTACTGCTCAAAGGGTAAATCTGTGCAGAAAACTGATGCCAGTACGGGGAAAGGTACAAAGCCGGCTGTTAATTATTCTGGTTATCAAGTAAACCTAGTGGATTCTCGACGAATTTATTGTCTTTAAGGAGAAATCAACGGTACCTTTATTGGCGATTCGCAAAGCTTTCTCATAATCGCCGCTGGTGTCTGCCTTGGCGAGATCAACGAAACATTGCTTAGCGCCCGAATCCACCACCATAATCCAACCCAAAAA